GATTCTTAGCGATAAAAAAGCGAAAAAAAAAAATGTTTATTGCAGAYGAAGCTAAGGTGGGAGCCAGGAGGAGCCGAAAGGGATTTTGAGCTACACTGTTCACAATCTCACAAGCAAAAAAAAAACCCTTCCTTCTTTAAGATAATTTACGTTTTTTTAAGGTAAAAAAAAAAGACATAACGTTTTTATCTTCAAAAACGCCTTATATTTTTTAAAAAAAAAATTTTTATTTTCCTGGAAAATATTCTTAGAAATTATTCCTAAAAAAAAGAATTCTTTTTTCTTTAATTTCTCGCTGGCAACCAGTTATAAAAAAAAGTTATGACTAACAGCTGGCTGGGACATAACAATAGATATGAAAAAAACAGGAATCCGTCAACTCCTCTTAAGGAGTACACGTGGAGACAAAAAAAAAAGCCATAGATTCGCTTATTCACGTTCCATTAGCTGTATCAAAAAAATAAGTAAGTCGCAATTATGAACACTTAATATTGAGTGATCTAAAAAAATCCTAAACAAGATCAATTTATGCTTAAAATCATTCCAGTAAAAAAAAAGATATCTTCTAAAACCAGACTTTTTTACGGTTCCACTTCTAAAAAAAATTCTTGCTACGGTCCCAGTGTTAGAATAGATATACAAAATCAAAAAAAAGGACTATATTCTTTTTGTTACATTGGAAAAAGCATTTTCAAAAAAAAATAATTACTATGATTAATAATTTAAGCTCTTCAACCAAGAAAAAAAAATAACGCAAACAATGTAAAAAGTCTGGACCAATTCCTTTGTTAAAAAAACTTCTTTTGCAATTTCAATTTTCAAATGTTTACAACTCAAAAAAAAAAATTAAAAATCTAGTTCTTTCTTCACAGAAGTGCTTGGCAGCAAAAAAACTTTCGGATAAAAGTGTTAAAAATCTATTTCTTTCTTCACAAAAAAAATTGGCAGCGTGTTACCTTTCGAATATATGAGGGGGATCATGAAAAAAATAAGAGTTTTATGTGGCTTTTGATAATCCCGTGAAATTCCTAAAAAAATATTGTGTTTGCCTTTTATTTGTTTTTCATTGCATCAAACAAAAAAAAATTGTTGAACTTTGTTTCACGGGTTGAATTGGTCTCCATAAAAAAAAAAAACACTTTATAATCGAAGTACCCGTGAAACAGAGTTTACAAAAAAAATTTTAATAAAGATTGAGAAACCGAAAAGAAATCATTAACAGAAAAAAACAATGAAGTGTCGCACGCTAAAGTGAATTTGGTGTGTTGATAAAAAAAAGTGTGTGGAAATTACTATTAAAAAAGAAAGAATAGTTTTTAAAAAAATATTATTTAGCCAAGATGACTGTTTTTCGGGTGAATTTCTAAAAAAAAACCCTAACATTCATTAACGTATGTAACCTTGGAGTTTTGGTAAAAAAACTATTTTGTTATAATGGGGTTTTAGTTATTACCCGAGTCAACTGGTTTTTAGCCCTGAGGAAAAATCTCATGAAAAACAGACGCCTTTCAAAAAAAAAGCAYCCTTATATTCATTATCTCCAGGAAGTGATCGACCCAATTTCCTGATATTGGTTCTTCTAATTTGCCAAAGGAACTGCAGTCCTAAAAAAAGGACTATTATTTATGACCTCAATAACATTAATTTTCGGTGGAAAAAAAATCGTGTTATTTTTTGCGGTGTTTRCTCTAAAATTAACGTTAAAAAAAGRTCATAATGAATATTTTCCACCAAATGCTTATTTACATAAGGCAATCAATAGCGTAGACATGATTGGGTGTTGTCGAGTGCTAGAGTCATTATTGTCGAGGGACTTTAAATATGCTTGAACGCTGGTGGGGTTTGCTTAAGAGATTTACCAGTGCTTGTCTCAAGGAATTTGTAAAACGCTCCGAAAAAAAGGCTGTTTGCACAACGTGAAATTTGTATTGATATCCGTAAAAAAAAAAGTATCCTTAGTATCTTTCTTGTAAAAAAAAAAATAGATTGGAAAAAAATCGACGCTGCGTGCGGTTTTAAGCTTGCTTTCACACAGAGAAAAAAAACTTAATAGCCACAAAACTAGACATATATATTTATTTAGATGAAAAAAATTATAACTTTTATTTTACCATGAAAAGTAGTAGAATTAATAAAAAAAATTGCGCTTCAAATTCTACTTTCTTTTGTTCCTTATCGCCCAAAAAAAATATTCTTTCTATTTTCACTCGATTTTCCCTGACTCTTCCATTTACATATAGTATTACTAATAAAACGAAAGTTTATCTTAAGTAAACTTAAAAAAAATATGGTTATAAGGAGTGAAGGAAATAGTTGAGTACCTGAGAAAAAAAGCTTATTATTAAGATAAAATTTCACTCTTTACTTTAGTTGTTTAATTTAGGGTTATTGCAATTTAGTATAATCCTGACGGATTTTTTTTAAAAAAAATGCTTGGTGATACATTTGTCGTATTTTGCTATAATCACCTTCTAAAAGAGGCGTTTTACGCTTTATTAATGCTTAAACATGTCCATAAAAAAAAAATAGCTCGARTTGTAGTGTCTTTTAATTGATCCTTCCTCGCAAAAAAAAAGTTTTACTTKTAASTAATTAAATCAAACATATTTCTCCTTTCTTGTGTGTTTTTAGCCCTTCTCGATTTACCAAGACAAAAATACTTAAAAAAATGTTTGTRATTGTCATTTTGGGCACGAAAAACCAGRTTTTAGTCCACACATTAAATATAGATGAAAAAATACAGGGATTTTAAGTGCCCAAAAAAATAAATMAYKCACAGTAAATGTTGTTCAATTGCTTYGACTTCAAAAAAATGGTATAAAGCCAACTAGATTTAAACACACACCCGACCTTTAAAAAAAAAATTGGCACCTTAAAAGCAATATAGACATTGTAGCTATTTAAAAAAAAACTTTAATGTAATTACAACCAAACGAATAGAAAAAAATAGAAAAAAAAAATAAAGAAATAAATTGAAATTGAAAGACAAAGAACTAAAAAAAAAAGATCTGAAATTGGAACACAAAAGGCCTACGCATGCATGAGTAAAAAAAGGAAATATAAGAATAAAAAATATGGAAATAGGAACATGACGAAAAAAAAAAATTAAGTGAACGGAAATAATAAATGAGTTAATAAGATAAAAAAAAGGGAGAAGTGAAAGAAAAATAGCAATAAATGAATAAAAAATAAAAAAATACAATAGTAGAGTTTATGAAAGGGGCAAGAATAGCGACAGAAAAAAAACTTAAATCGAAAAGAAAAGTATGGAAATGAAAAGAAACAAAAAAAAAAAATGAAAAGGATTGAAATTGTAGTAAAATGGGAATTAAATAAAAAAATAAGTATAAGCAAGGAATTAAGGTGTTAAGGAAAGATTACAAAAAAAAAAAATGGAAAGGGAACGGCAAAGTGAAAAAAAATCAACATCAAAAAAACAAAAGATAGAAAAAAAGTATAGAGATGATATTACAGCGTTAAAAAAAGATATTTATATATTAAAAATGTTGTTTTTAACACGGGAAAAAAAAAAACATATCTTCAAGTCAACCTGTAATGTTCTTTTTATTATATGAAAAAAATAAAGCGACATGTAGAAATGAGCGGGAAAGTTGTTTTTATTTGACGCGCGCGTACATCCGGGACATTTTTCATATCTTCACTAGTGAAAAAAAAAAAAATACAAGTGCTTTAGTTTCCGGTAAAACACTATTAACTATATAATAAAATTTGATAAGTGCTTCCTCCAGGGCCAGGATTCTTGGTCAAAAAAAGTTATATCCAAGGCCCATTAGCGAGATAACTGCTCAAGATAAAAAAAATAGAAACTCCACTATTCTTAACAAGAATTCAAACCAGCCAAAAAAAAATTTACAAGTATAATGAAAAACATATTTCAATTTTGTTTTCTAAAAAAAAAGGAGATAGAAATCTGTGCAATGTTGTGTCTTGCCATTTTAAAAAAATAGATACCATCTGTCTATCCAAACGCAAAACGCTAAAGGCAAAAAAAAGCGGTATTTTAGGATTCAAATGTCGGCAATATTGGCTTTGCAAAAAAATATACTATTTTTTTAATATATATAATTACTGCAATAAGGATTTACCAGAAAGCTATTAAGACCTCGTTCATAATAAGCCATTCATAMAGAAAAAAAAAACCAGTTTATTGATCGACCGCATYTCATGATTTTTTCACAAAAAAAACGCCAAGTATGTTGTTTTTTGATTTGTTTTTACTTAATTTAATTGCCTTAATTGCACTCTCTCAGAAGAAAAAAAAATTATCTTAAGAAAAAAAAACCTGGTCCACTCAGTCTGGCATCAATTACGAATTATATATAAAAAAAAGGTAAAAGATTTTAAGATCTATAAGTCCATCTTACAAGTTAAAAAAAAAGCTCGGAAATATAAATACTTCCATAATATAAGCAAAGACAAAAAAATTATTATCYTTTGTAAGATTCGACCTTAAAACCGACGGATGGAAACGGATTTGCGAATGGATATTTGAAGTCACGTCATTTTCCATATAAAAAAAATCTAGAAACGACCGCATTGAATGCTGGGTGGACCATGGCCCAAAAAAAACATTTAATATTTTTAGAGACTAGCAAATATGTTTCAATAAAAAAAAAGATGGATTAATTTGCTTCCATATTTAACGATAAAATGGTGAGAATTATATACAATGAATTACCTTAAAAAATTGCTTTTCGTGTAGAATAAAAAAATGGTAATCTTGCCTTATTTGGAAGTACGTGTGATTTAATCTAAAAAAAATAAAAGCAAAAATATTCAACAATTAGACATCTTGTTTACTAAAAAAAATGGCATAGATTCGGCAGAGAAACCCCCAATTTATAAATCAAAAAAAACCCGAATGAAGTATTATTTCTTCATTGATATGAATTAATAAAAAAAAAGAATTTCTACAAATGATAAATTAACTTTAGCTTTTTGCTCCAAAAAAAGACAAGCTGAAGATCTAGTCCGTAAACATGAATGGCTCTAAAAAAAAACACTATGATGAGGACTACRCAGCAGATAGTTTCACAATAATCTTTATCAAAGAACTAGCTTATGCCATCGTCACAGTTGTCGCACTTGTGGGAAACAGCCTTGCAATTGCTTCCGTGTTCCAAACTCCACGCATGCGCACAATAACAAATTATCTAATAGTCAACATGGCTATTGTTGATATCATAAAAAAAATTATCGCCATACCACAAACCTTTTTGGTGGTCGCCAACTACAACATCGTCTCAGAGTCTGCGGTGTTTGAGGTTTTTGGCTGCAAAGCTACGAATTTCTTCCATTATGCGTTACAAGGGGTTTCTGTTCTRACCCTAAAAAAAATAGCGACGGATCGATACTTCGCTATAATGATTCCTTTTAAAAAGTTTTTGACTAAGCGTGTATTTTATGTGGTACTTGTGATCATTTGGCTTGTCGGCATCGCTGTCGCCTCTCCGGTACCATACGCCTATAGAGTCTTAGAAGTAGAAGGCTACCTGTACTGCGGAGAGGAATGGGAACCACTAAAAAAAAGTACTGAAGCTTCCAAAGTCTACACAGTCGTTTTATTTATAAAAAAATACTGTATTCCATTCTTGGCAATGACTGTGATCTACTCCATAAAAAAAAATAAACTTTGGACTCGTAAACCCATAGGAGAATTAAACCAAAGCGGAAAGAAAATCTTGGAGTCTCGGAAAAAAGTTGTGAAAATGCTTGTCACAGTGGTAGTTGGATTTGTCATCTGTTGGCTACCAGCTCAGATAAAAAAATTGTGGGGGTATTTYAMAGAAGTTMATATCATCCCTGAATGAAAAAAATTTTTGTGTTTCTTTGTAATGCACGCCCATCCGGCTCTAAATCCTTGCATCTACGTAATCTTTAGTCAGAATTTCCGTGACGGATTCAAAAAAAAAGTGAAGTGTTATTGCTGTATGAGCAGTGCCGGGAAGTCATCAAAAAAAAGCAACCCTACCAAGATTGACAGATGTCTTTTAAAGAATGAAAAAAAAGAAAAGGGGGAAGATTTCAATCGTGAAGTCACTACGGCAAGAAAAAAAATTTGTTAATTCCTGAAACATTGAAGGCTACTTCCAGTTTGAAAAAAAAAAATAAAAACAAGAAAGAGGAAATAGGATCGTCAATACATAAAAAAATGTATAAAATAATCCATGAGTTTTGGATGGATTGATTGGAAAAAAAAAATAGCTCATCATTAAACTCAAAATGTCGCAGAAATGAAATTAAAAAAACCCCGGATCAAACCACTGCATATGAGATTTCTATGAATTATAAAAAAATTGATGAATAACGATTGCAAAGCACATTATTTAGTTTAAATAAAAAAAAAATTGACTAATGAAGTATGATTTGTTAAGAATAAAATATTAAAAAAATTTAGCAATACCTGTGATATTATAGCCTCTGCTAATAAATCAAAAAAATGGCTTTCTGGATTTCCTTTCAGGGTTCGTTTGGTCCTGTAAAAAAAAGAAAATCATTGAATTTCGTATTTGTGTTTTCAAGATCAGAAAAAAAAACGAAGTTTGGCGAGGGCCATGAAAAGTGATTAAAATCATTTTTGTTTGTGACTTATTAATTTTCACTACATTTCGTCAATAAATTTAAAACAAGTGCATTGTATTTAATGAAGTAGTTTGTGTTATCAATTGATTGAAAAAAAATTGAAATCAGTTGAAGGKCATACACAAATTGCTCGTATTGCAAAAAAAATGGACTTTCTAACTTTTTGGGACGAACTGTAAACAAAAGTAAAAAAAAAACATGGAATTTTAGACTCTTAAAAGAGTACGAAACCTGTAAAAAAAATGGACGAAAGGCCAACTAGGGATTTTAAGGAGGATATTTTAAAAAAACTCCTTTTCAGGCAAAGCTTAAGTTTGCCCATTTGGGATCCAAAAAAAATACTCTTTGCCGAGTTGGGTCTCGGGCGACGCAAAGAAATAAAAAAAATCACAGTCACTCTCGGCCATATTGAGAAGTACAGAAAGGCAAAAAAAAAAAAAAGAACGAAAAGGAAGTTAAACGAGGCTACAATCTCAAAAAAAACTTTACTTTACTTTACCATTTTCGTTTGCGCTTTTGTGGCAAAAAAATGTCTTCGATAAAAAGCCTTACAAATGGATTCTAGCTTAATAAAAAAAACCATAGTTTTAACGTTAATACTTGGCCAACTGTAAAATGGAAAAAAACAGCTGTCAAGTTTTAAATTGACTGGTGCATAGAAATGCAAAAAAAAATAAAAATACATTTATCATATACTTATCTATGAAATACTTAAAAAAAAATGTTTCGAAAAGCTGTTTTTTTTTACTAGTGAAAATAACACAAAAAAAATTGCTCTTTATAGTGGAAGTAAAAAATAGTTTAAATAGGTAAAAAAAGCTCATCCCAAAAATGTAGGTTCTTATATATATGTGGGTTTAAAAAAAAGTTTACTCGTATTTATGAAGGTTACCCGTTCCATTACAAGAAAAAAAAGTATCTTGAGATCGGTACTAATACTTTCAATACTAACGTTAAAAAAAACAGTAGAGCAATAATTTCTAACTTTATCAATCTTTTTTTAAAAAAAATCTTTTTAGCCTACTTTTATGATTTATAATATATCATAATAAAAAAAAATGGCAAAACATTAACATCAGTGACCAATGAGATCGTATTTTAGAGTTTGCATATATGGAATATACAGTTAGTTTCAAACATTCTGAACGTTAAGTAACAATGCGCTAAAGAACTAGGGAACTCTCTATTGTTCTGCGGCATAGCAAGTTCCCCATGTACGAATGTCTTGGTTTTCACACTGATTAAAAAAACATCTGTGGGTAACACATTTTTGAAATAAAATGTGGATAAAAAAAAAATTGAAACAAAGTTCCTTTTGTACTTTTGTATTAAAAGCTCTAAAAAAATCATAAGCACTCAAAACAATAGCCAAAAGATGCTTCTAATTAAAAAAATTCCCCACGTAGAATTGCCTTAATATTAAAGCTAAAGAAAGAAAAAAAGAAAGCGAAAACAGACATTAAATAAAATATTAGAAAATTCGCTAACTTGTGAAATTATAGCAGATTTTCATGTTTTAACCAATGGGATGAAAAAAATATACAATGCGCAATTAGCACCTTCTTGCATTCCTGTGCCGTTTGCTTCCCTAGTTCTTACTCGGGGCATTACTTAACATGTATCATTAAAAAAAATGCATTATGGGCAATRCCATGTGATTTTCATTGTTTTCTCGAAAAAAAAGATCGGAAATCATTCGACTACTTTGAAATTATATATGTATAAAAAAATAATGTGTAGTTTTATGATCAAAGGCTCACTTACATCCAAGAAAAAAAGCGCGATGATTCACGTACGAATAATCGCCATCAASATGACTAAAAAAAAYACAGTCAAATCGAGTAGTCGGAGCGATATTCTGCTCCATAAAAAAAAATCTGAAAACCGGCTCTGGAATCCGGAATCTGAGACCATGAAAAAAAAATCCACAACAACAACAACAAAAAGAAAAGAACAACAACGAAAAAAAAAGCAACAACAACAACATCAACAACAGCAATAACAAAACAACAAAAAAAGCAAGAAAAGAACAACAACTACAGCACCAGCAGCAATAACAAAAAAAACAAAGAACAACAGCAGCACAACAACAGCAATAACAAAACAAAAAAAAAAAAAACAACAGCAACACAACAACAACAACAGCAATAACAAAAAAAAAAACAACAACAAATAACAACACAACAACAACAGCAACACAACANAGAAAGCTTTCATGAAAGCGAAAACAGACATTAAATAAAATATTAGAAAATTCGCTAACTTGTGAAATTATAGCAGATTTTCATGTTTTAACCAATGGGATGGATGGATTATACAATGCGCAATTAGCACCTTCTTGCATTCCTGTGCCGTTTGCTTCCCTAGTTCTTACTCGGGGCATTACTTAACATGTATCATTATATCGGGTGCATTATGGGCAATGCCATGTGATTTTCATTGTTTTCTCGCTAAAACAGATCGGAAATCATTCGACTACTTTGAAATTATATATGTATTCAAGCATAATGTGTAGTTTTATGATCAAAGGCTCACTTACATCCAAGGTCCTTTGCGCGATGATTCACGTACGAATAATCGCCATCAACATGACTTTGAGCCACACAGTCAAATCGAGTAGTCGGAGCGATATTCTGCTCCATGACACGAAATCTGAAAACCGGCTCTGGAATCCGGAATCTGAGACCATGGAAACGCAATCCACAACAACAACAACAAAAAGAAAAGTACAACAACGACAGCACCAGCACCAGGAACAACAACAACAACAGCAATAACAAAACAACAACAACAGCAAGAAAAGAACAACAACTACAGCACCAGCAGCAAGAACAGCAACAGCAAAGAACAACAGCAACGCAACAACAGCAATAACAAAACAACAACAACAGCAAGACAACAACAACAACAGCAATAACAAAACAACAACAACAAATACAACAGCAGCACAACAACAGCAATAGCAAAACAACAACAACAACAAATAACAACAGCAACAACAAAAAATAACAACAGTAACACAACAACAACAAAACAACAACAACAGCAAAACAAAAACTACAACAAAACAACAACAACAAAAACGACAACAAAACAACAGCAATAACAAAAACAACAGCAACACAACAAACAACAACAAAACAGCAACAACAGCAGCAAAACAATAACAACAAAGAACAACTGCAACGCAACAACAACTCCAGTAAAACAACAACAAAACAACAGCAGCAGTAAAACAGCAACAACAACAGCAGTAACAACAACAACAGCAAGAAAAGGTTTCGCGTATATCCAAATTAGTGATTTCATTTTTTTCTATTTGTAAGCGAATTACTGGTGGATGTTTTGCATTCTRAATCAAATATGTTGGAATRCAAAATCATTGAAAAATATTCTCATGAAATCTTTTATCAAGAAGTATGAAATGCGGAACCAGTAAAGGTCCGGATTCCGTGTCATGGGGCAAAAGTTCCATTTTACAATTTTTCTGAAAAATGATGTGAATTTATTYATCATTAGTTGTACACTCTTTGAGAAGTTCATGAGTCTGCAGATTCTTTGGYGCGTCACAATTGTGTACAACRTCATCTGGTGTTGTATTGTCACGTGATCCAGACTTGAAGTTAGAACTCCGACGAGTTGTGAGAGTCATGCGCTGTGACAACTTGGTCAGACTTCGCGTCAGAGCTGTTTCCCTACCAAAGCAGCATTTTAACGCTATATGAAAGCCTTTTCGATAGTTCTCACTAAACGCGGCGTAAATCAGAGGACTTGTTGCCGTGTGCATTCGCATTAAAAACTTACAGATGAAATCTGTTTTTCGAGATATTTYAACCCCGGCATGCCACAGYAACGTGGCGATTTGAAGTGGTAGCCAACACAGSACGAATGCAATAACTACGGTTATTAACATCTTGACGACCTTCTTCCGAGACTCGATAGCTTTACGATATTGCTTCTTGTGACGGCTTTTGATGACTTTTCGTTTCCAAACCCGTCGACAAACTATGAAATACATAATGGTGATTGACAAGAAGGGGAGGCAGTACGCCACAGAGAAAAGCACAACAGARTACACCCTRGAGATCYTTTCTGATTCWTCCATATCTACTGCCCACTCTTCTACACATCCGTARCCATACCCTTCATAATATACAGGCTTCCAGGCGTACAATGCRGGCGCCCCTAGGCCAGCGGCTGCTACCCATACCACCGCCACTACMACGTAGAAAACCTGCTTYGTRAAAAGCTTTCTGAGTGGAAAAACAATGGCGACAAACCGGTCAAGAGCTAGGCAAGMTAGAGTGAGAACCGATGCTCCGATAAGAAAGTATTGAGCAAAATGGAATATTTTGCATACATAGAGMGTGCTCCAGTAATTGCTTGTCACCCATTCAAATAAWTCAAAGATCTCGATGTAGAGTGGAGGCATGGCGATCAAAACGTACAGCAAATCAGATACCGCCATGTTTACGATTAAATAATTGGTGATTGTCTTCATCCGGGGTATTAGCCAAACGGCTAAGATGACCAGRATGTTGCCAAATATGGAAAGTAARGTGACCACGCCTGCTGCTACGGCTTTTACAATCTTAGTGTYCATTGGTTCAACTTTGAAGATTACTTCTGATGTGTCATTCATCTTGGACGTTTTATTCGACACGAAGTCTTTCTTAATCGTTGTACTTTTTTCCTTTTAAAGATGTATTAGAGTTCTGTACTAGTTCCTTGACGTTCAGATGTCACTCTTTTTAATTATATCTAAATTTCTTTTTAATCTTCGGTCATTTAGTGATTTTTACGGCCATTCTTTTGATTCAAGTTTATCTTTCCTGTATATATTGTTTAGATTTGGTCACTTTCTGCTTGTAGTTAATTTATCTTTCTTTTTTTCTTCGTTTCTTCTGCTGTTTCTTCCTTGTATTTCTTCTCTTTTTATATATTTGTTGTTTTGATGTAGATGATTGAGTTCAAATCGCCTTTGCATGAAGGCAGTTCTTCGCTCTYTCTCCTTCTTTCTTTGGAAATGACTTCTCCAAAATGTCTTTTGAACTCTGGTTTATAAACAGAAACAGAAGCATTAGAACAGTAGCAATCTCCCTTCAACATTCGACGCTCTTCTTCCTCCCCTTCAAATAGTTGTATGCAATTCAAAGAAATGACGGTTTTGTGCAAAAATAAGCGCTGTACTCGACTGTACTTATATTACTGCACTTCTCGTACACCACATTTGTGTCTTTGCCAATTCCTTTTTTTGTTAGGAAGTGTTTTTTTTCATGAGGGCTCGCAAAGCAGACAATGTTGTCCAAAAGAAATTTAGCTGTTAATTTTGTCTATATTAATTAATAATATATATGGTGTTATAATGCGAGTACTGTTGTGTGTTGTTACGATTTTGGTATGGATGGAAAACTTTGCCGGAAAATATAGAAATGCTTGTTTAAAAAAATATAAAGTTRTCAAAACACTCGAAGTTTACCCTCCCCCACCCCTCCCCTCCTCTTCCCCCACCCTCACCCCCACCACTTTACCCCTTTACCCCAAAACCTATTATTTGTGCTATTATTTCAATGTCCAGTAATCATGTTCGCGTTACAATCTGTTTGGATTATTCTAGCGAAGAAAATCTTTCTTYATAGGAATTTCAGTGCTTCAATATTTTTTTCAGACTATTATAAATTCAAGCTTTCAATAAATTATTTTCAATRGCTGAGATTTTTTATATCTTTAAAATATCTGTAAAAAATAATGCCAATAGTGTACTCCATTAAAAGTTTAATGGTTTACAAGGACTTAAATGTTAAATGTTCCTGAAGGATTTTCATCTTTCATGAGTTTAGTACAAGGAATATGATGTCTTTAGAAAGTCATCCAGAACTTCCACTAAAAAATATTCTAAAGAATTCCAATAMCTTTGAACAGATTTTTGTGATAAAAGCGAATAATATTTAATGGTTAAATATTYCGGTRTTGAATCGAAATTTTGAATTTTAGAGGTACTCTTCAAGTGTTTTGACTGAAAACCTTGCAAATGAATATWTGTTTAAGTCCTATATTACTCTAAATGCTTTGAGTGTAGATAACTGTTGAAGTTGCCATCTTGAATTGCAGTTCTTTATACCAAATACGGTAAAAATGCGCAAATATATATCCTAATTTGCTGTTAAAAATCTATATATAGCTTACCAGTGATTGCAATAATCTTTATCCGCTGTGTTTATGCGTTCCGCTAAGCGGCGATCGTATGGTTATGTAGCTTTTCTTGGATTGCCTGGGGCTGTTGATAGRATATACACCATGTTATGACTCTCTACTAGCAGTCTATCTTATGAATATATTAATGTATTATTCATATATAAATAATTGATAAATTAATTTCAGTTTATTGATCGTCTGTTTATGTATTCTTAGCGCGAACGTCTCGGCGTGTTTGTTTTTAAGGGATAACAAAGGCATTTCTCCAACATGGCGGCGGCAATGTTCTAGAATGACTTCTTAGGAGACTCTTGGTCATTTGGTTGCTAGCMATAAGAATTGCCTTTTATAATCATTGTATATTAATGATAAGTTTTAGAAAGTGAAGATGTTTATTATAATTCCTGTTTTTACTTTCATCCGTTTTGTTTTATTATAGTTAGAAAAATTTTATATTCTTGTCAAAATATTATACAAATATTCATGACATTGTTCGTTATACTCGAACTGTGATTGCTTTAAAAGCCTTAAATTATTTTCACTAGTGAAAATAAAACATTCGGGGTTTCGCTAAATAATGCAACTAAGAAAAAAGGTATGTTACGACATTGTTTTCATATGAAATTATATGATAAATAGAATATTACATGTTCTCTTCTTTTGTTGAAAATCTCTCACTACGCTACGCTCACTTGTAAGAGATCTTTTCAACACTCGAAGATAAAATCCGTATCTCCCCGCGCCCATGCAATATCCTCTATTTAAGTATACCGAGTTATTATGCGTCCATACTGTGGGCTACGCAAATAAACCTTTTTCCATATGCATTACGGACGCATCTATTACGTAAAGCTATTTACGTATACCAAGTTATGCGTCCTTATGATACTGTGGGCTACGCGAATAAACCTTTTTTCCATATGCATTAGGGACGCATCTATTACGTAAAGCTATTTACGTATACCAAGTTATGCGTCCTTATGATRCTGTGGTCTACGCAAATAAACCGTTTTTTTTCCATATGCATTACGGGCGCCGCTATTGTGTAAAGCTCTTAACCAATACTGAGTAATGCGTCCTTGTTAACAAATGAGTCTTCTACCAAGGGTACTGATAGTGCATCAATGTTTTTTTAAGAGGTGACTATATTTTCCAGGGTAACAATAAATTGACACTGATGAACAGTCAGCATCCAATATAACCGATACGCTCTATTGAAGAGATCGATTAGAATGCAAAAGATATTAAAACAGTTTGATTAATGTGGTCGCGTCTAATGTCTCGCTTGCTGTTTTGCCGAGTCTATGTTGAGCCACGCCCATATTTCGAAAAAATAATAAACTCCATGTCATTAGCACTATTTGTTTTTTGCATCCAAGACAAAATGACGCCTGAAATTCAAAACAAATGCTGGATGACTTTTCTGCAATATCCGGTCAAGTCAATTTTGAAAGCTCTTCCTGGTCATCAATGAGGTGCCTGCTAAGAGAACCGAGTAATGTCTAATTATTATTTTTATTTGTTTCCTGTTAGGGCTTAGATGTCGGCTCTTCCTGACCAAAGAACATCGAAATTCCCGGTGTTCCCGTCGACTTCGTATTGCCACCCCCGTCTGAGGTAAGAACATTTATTAACTGCATATTTAGCGCTGTCGGTACGTGATGGCGGCCACTTTGAAAAGCAAAACAGTGAAACTTTTTCTTTCGAGATTTTGCGAGAGTTCTGGTGCACCATGGGTAATTTTATTTTGTTATCTTCCTAAATGACATTACAAATCAATACTCCATTTTCGAATTCAAAGCGAATAAATTCTCAATGTCGGTAGCCAGGTAAAATTTCAAGCATTTGTCGCTAGTCAGTTAAAATTCTAGGCATTTGTCGGTAGTTGGTTATTTAAAAAAAGTGATAAACATTAGGTTTAAATGCATCTAAAACGGTGCTTTATACCAACAGAATTCTTTCTAAAATGCCAACAATTGAATCCTTGAGTCTTGATTGGTCAATTCGATGTCCTCAAAGTTTTAGAGTGGCTCATCACAACTTCAAGAAGCCAATCCGTAGCAAAATTTATTTTTTCCGTGGAAAATTTCGAATGTAGTTGCTTGAAAAATAAAAAAAAGCTTGTATTCACGGAGCTAACACCTTTGAATATTGGAAAATATCGCCAGTCAGTAAATTTGTTAATGTCGGTAGTCAGCAAATTTGGTTCAAATTTGTCGCTAGTCAGTAGTTATTTTGTCCATTTGTCGCTAGTCGGTTAACCCCATTCAGACCCTGTTACTACAAATCAACTATCAACTGACTGAGTTTATGATTGTAAGCCGCGTGGCTGCCAATTGCGCCTTAAACAGCGGTCCGTGTGAAATGATCTATACATGTGAAGCGCCTTTGAACTCAGAGGATATCGGCGCTATATAAATACCACATATTAT